TGTATTTTGGGTCTCTCAGGTGAATTTTGGGTCTCTCAGGTGGATTTTGGGTCTCTCAGGTGTATTTTGGGGTCTCTCAGGTGTATTTTGGGGTGTCTCAGCTGAATTTTGGGGTGTTTTTCATCCCCCCCCCGGGCCAGGCGCGGGTGGAACTGTCCATTACCAATCTGGGGGTGTTCCAGGTGAATTTTGGGGTGTCTCAGGTGGATTTTGGGGTGCATTTCTTCCCCCCCCGGGCCAGGCACGGGAGGAACTGTCCATTACCGATTTTGGGTGTTCCAGGTGAATTTTGGGGTGTCTCAGCTGGATTTTGGGTCTCTCAGGTGAATTTTGGGGTGTCTCAGGTGTATTTTGGGGTGTCTCAGGTGAATTTTGGGTCTCTCAGGTGTATTTTGGGTCTCTCAGGTGAATTTTGGGTCTCTCAGGTGTATTTTGGGGTGTCTCAGCTGAATTTTGGGGCGTTTCTCATCCCCCCCCGGGCCAGGCGCGGGTGGAACTGTCCATTACCGATTTTGGGTGTTCCAGGTGAATTTTGGGTCTCTCAGGTGAATTTTGGGGTGTCTCAGGTGGATTTTGGGGTGTCTCAGGTGGATTTTGGGTCTCTCAGGTGTATTTTGGGGTGTCACAGCTGAATTTTGGGGTGTTTCTCGTCCCCCCCCGGGCCAGGCGCGGGTGGAACTGTCCATTACCGATTTTGGGTGTTCCAGGTGAATTTTGGGGTCTCTCAGCTGAATTTTGGGGTGCATTTCTTCCCCCCCCGGGCCAGGCGCGGGTGGAACTGTCCATTACCGATTTTGGGTGTTCCAGCTGAATTTTGGGGTGTCTCAGCTGAATTTTGGGGTGTCTCAGGTGGATTTTGGGGTGTTTCTCGTCCCCCGGGCCAGGCGCGGGTGGAGCTGTCCATTACCAATCTGGGGGTGTTCCAGGTGAATTTTGGGGTGTCTCAGCTGAATTTTGGGGTGTTTCTCGTCCCCCGGGCCAGGCGCGGGTGGAACTGGCTGTTGTAGCGCCGCTGCCGTTCCGGGGGGGGGTCCCAGGCGGGATTTTGGGGGGTCCCGGGCGGATTTCGGGGGTCCCGGGCGGGATTTCGGGGGTCCCGGGCGGGATTTCGGGGGGTCCCGGGCGGATTTCGGGGGTCCCGGGGCCCCCCCAGCAGCTCCCGGCTCCGCGCCGCCTCGGCCGCCTCCCGGGCCAGGCGCTGCCGCCGCAGCTCCGCCAGCCTGACGGGCAATTAGCGATAATTAGTGCTAATTAGGGACCCGCCGGGGCGGGGGGGGGGCAACGACGCCCCCCTTGGGAGGGGTGGGAGAGGTGGGGGTGGGCATTAATGAGTAATTCGTTAATTACCGTATGGTTAAAGGGGTAATTAATAGTAATTAATGTGTTAGTTAGCTGTAATTAATATGTAATTAGCAAGATTAACAATGTAATTAGTTAGCAGTAGTTAACAATGTAATTATGGGTAATTAGTTAGCAGTGATTAGGGGAAAGGGTTAAAAATAAGGCGATTAAATTCCTAAGGTGGCAGTAAGAAATAAGGGTAATTAAATATTAATTAGGGGACAAATTAATTAATGGGTTAATTAGCACAAAGGGAGGGGTCGACCCTCGCTTTTAGGGGGATAATTTAAATTTTAGGGGTTCTAAGCTCAACTCTAGAACTGATAAAATCACAGTTTTGGAGGAGTTAAATTTTAATTTTTAGGGGGTGAACCCCAATTTAGGAGGGGTTAAATCCCCAAATTTGGGGGATTTCACCCCAATTTAGGAGGGGTTAAATACCCAAATTTGGGGGGGGTCACACCCCAATTTTGGATGGGTTACGTCTCCAAATTTTGGGGGATTTCACCGCAATTTAGGAGGGGTTAAATCCCCAAATTTTCGGGATTTCACCCCAATTTAGGAGGGGTTAAATTCCCAAATTTAGGGGATTTCACCCCAATTTAGGAGGGGTTAAATCCCCAAATTTGGGGGGGTCACACTCCAAATTTGGATGAGTTAAATCTCCAAATTTTGAGGATTTTACCCCAATTTTGGATGGGTTAAATCCCCAAATTTGGGGGATTTCACCCCAATTTAGGAGGGGTTAAATCCCCAAATTTGGGGGGGTCACACTCCAAGTTTGGATGAGTTAAATCTCCAAATTTTGAGGATTTCACCCCAATTTTGGATGGGTTAAATCCCCAAATTTGGGGGATTTCACCCCAGTTTATGAGGGGTTAAATCCCCAAATTTTCCGGATTTCACCCCAATTTAGGAGGGGTTAAATACCCAAATTTGGGGGATTTCACCCCAATTTAGGAGGGGTTAAATCCCCAAATTTTCGGGATTTCACCCCAATTTAGGAGGGGTTAAATCCCCAAATTT